CAACAACAGCAACAAAAAGTCAAAACAAACAAAAACACACACACAATAAATCTCCCTCCCCTCCCCCCCCCCCAAAAAAAAAAAAAAAAAATCCACCCAAAGCCCAAAGCCAAAGCGCACACTCACCTATAGGATAAGCAAAAGCGATCATATAAGACGCGTTGATTGAAGCCGCGCACACGAGGAAGTTGTCCTCCCTCACTAAATAATGGTGTATCGCCCGGGGGGGACTCACGACGCCCCACACCGCTGTGATCATCACCTGGGGGGGGGGGTTAAGGAGCGGGAGTGTCATTAGGTGTGTTTGTTATTGTTGTTATTGTCTGTTATCTCTGTTATGTTATGTGCCTTGACCTGTCTGGGTTTTCTTGTTTAAGTTTGTTTGGCTAATAGGTTTTCTGTTTGTTTGTTTGTCTCTGTCTGTTTGTCCGTCTGTCTGTCTGTCTGTCTTTCTCTCTCTGTCTGTCAGTCTCTCTCTTTTGTCTGTCTCTCTTTCTCTGTCTGTCTGTCTGTCTCTCTTTCTCTTTCTGTCTGTCTGTCTGTCTCTTTCTCTGTCTGTCTGTCTCTCTCTCTTTCTCTGTCTGTTTGTCCGTCTGTCTGTCTGTCTCTCTCTCTTTCTCTGTCTGTCTGTCTGTCTCTCTTTCTCTGTCTGTCTGCCTGTCTCTCTTTCTCTGTCTGTCTGTCTGTCTCTTTCTCTGTTTGTCTGTCTCTCTTTCTCTGTCTGTTTGTCTTTCTCTTTCTCTGTCTGTCTGTCTCTTTCTCTGTTTGTCTGTCTCTCTTTCTCTGTCTGTTTGTCTTTCTCTTTCTCTGTTTGTCTGTCTGTCTCTCTTTCTCTGTTTGTCTGTCTGTCTGTCTTTCTCTGTCTGCCTCGCTCTCTCTTTCTCTGTCTGTCCGTCTGTCTGCCTCTGTCTGTCTGTCTGTCTGTCTCTGTCTCTGTCTGTCTCTGTCAGTCTGTCTCTCTCTCTCTCTCTCGACCGATATACCAATGAATTACCTATGACGTCAAACTTTATTACCGACATAATATAATAAAACTCCAAGGAAGTGCCAATAACTCCCATCAGCCGAAAAAATAGAATAATTATTCATGTACAAACAAAAGTTTTAGATCCAGTTTTAGTCAAACATCATAATAAAGAGAAAGAAAGAAAAAACACAAACCTGAACAAACACGAGACAAAAACAGATACACAGCTGCGATTTAGGCGTAATGAAGGAAGGTCTCTTGGCTGTTCGTTTCCCTGCGTTGAAGATCCTGGAGATTCGGTTGGTCTTGGTGAGCAAGGCGCTATACACGACGGCGAAGCAGAAGCCAAGGCCAAACCGTTGGCATCCGCACACCACCGCTGTAGGCTAGGTTGGGGGAAAATATTATTACGTGATTTGGCGATATTTAGGTAATTGCTTTTATTTCATAGGGTTTAAAATTGGTATTTACGAGGGAATTGAGTTTGTCTGCGCGTGAAAAGAGGAGTAATTGGCCAAAGTGAAATGAGGACTGAAATTATTTATCACCCCCTCCAATTTCCATACTCTTGATTACCCGCTCACTACCTCCCTTCTTCTCTCTTTCTTTCTCTCTTTCTAGCTCACCCCCCCCCCCCTTTCTCTCTACTGTTTTCTTTCACCTCTACCTCCCTCTCTCACTCACTCATTCCCCTTTCCCATTCCTCCCTCTTCCTCTCCCCTCTCCCCCCACCCTCACCTCTCTCCCCACAACTCACCTTAAGAACGAAAACAAACGTAACGGCGTAACACAGGAAGACTCCAGACAACAACACATACGACAGCTCCCGCCCAGACGCCCTCACCACGGGCGTGTCGTTGTGGCTCACGAACACCCACACCACCACGCCCGTGAGCACCACGCCCAGGGAGGAGAAGAGCATGGCCCCGATCACCCACCAGGAGTCCGTCTGGATGTACACCTGTGGGAAGTATGGGGGAGTCTTCGTCGTGAGATTCAGTCTTCGGTTCTCGTTTTCGTTTTTTTTTCGTTGGTTGTTGTTGTTATTGTTGTTAGTTGGTGTTAGTTTGTGTTAGTTATTATTCGTAGTTGCTATTAATATTGGGTACTATAAGTAGTAATTATTAGTCTTAGATAATTACCATTCATGGTAATAATTGGTATCAGTTAGACATTATTCTTGGTAATTATTGGTCTCAGTTAGTCCTTATGAGTAGGGGTTAATATTAGTAATTTTCTATAGGTTTAATTAGCAATTTCTTCTAGTTTTCATAAAGACCCGAATAGCAATTTTTATTAGTGTCATTTTGATTACTTTTCAATAGTATTTCTTCATCAAGCATTTTCACTCCTATTGAATAATTCTTTCTATTCATTTTCACAGGGCGGTATCCATTGCCAGCTCACCATGCTAATTGATCAGTATGAAAACACACCTCTGAATAATTAAATAAACACGAATCAGTTATTAATCAAACATATATTAAATGTTGATGAATCTCTGACATTACTAATTAAAGGCATACATTACTG